ACAATAATGAAGAAAAACTTCAAGAAGACTTGGATAGGATTTGTGACTGGGCGACTGGCTCCAATTACCTCCTTAAAACTGTTCCACATATTCCAACTCTTTTCCTACATGATAATCCCATCAAATTTTATCCCTCTATCAAAAACCTTGGAATAACCTTCGATCAAACGCTTTCCTGGAAAAACCATGTATCCAACACCTCCCGCTGGACCATTTCCACCTTAAAACGCCTAAACCACTCCCGTCATTTATTTCCCCTTGAAACCCGAAGATTCCTGGTCACTTCTTTAATTTTTTCCCACTTTGACTATTGCTGTACGGTATATGGGGGCGTCTCTGGGGATCTCGAGGCAAAACTAAAACGCTTGATAAATTGCTTTGTACGATTCATCTTCGGGATCCCAAGGGACGCCTCTGTTTCCCGTTTTTATGTAGAGTTGAAGTGGCTTTACCCTTCCTACCGTCGTAAGTATTTTTTGGCATCCTTCCTCTTTCAAGTCATCCAATCCCACCGACCTTCATACATCTCCGAGCTCCTCCAATTCAAATCCTCTGTTCGCTCCCGCAATACTCGTTCCAGGTCTTCTGATTTATACATAAGGGCCCACCGAACCGCTGCTTTCGACAGATCATTCATTATCCGATCCTCATCCTTATGGAACTCCATCCCTTCCCACATCCGTCAATCTAATACCCTTCCTACCTTTAAATCCCGCCTGTTCAATCATTTCTTATCCATCCAGTCCCCATAAAATCATAAAATTGTAAATAGATACCACTGAAAATATGTATATAAATTATTAGATTGTTCTTCATTATTTTTACTTTATTTTAAAAATTTTCATTATTAACTTATATAAGTTAAAAAGTAACATAATTTTTAATATGACTATTTTATTACTCAACATTTCTTCTTATGTATCTCTGAGGCCTTAGCCACATTACTGTCCTTATGTATTATTCTAAAGGGACTTGTCCCAGAATAAATAAAGTATTATTATTATTATATAAAACAATTTTCAGCCCTGATGATGACCCTAATGCTTGGGCTGAAATGTGGGCACCAATATAAACCTTAAAAATGACTACATCCTGACTAATTATCACCTATGATATGTCGAAAAGTCGACTAACTTTTCTAAGCTTTTCAACTTAAACTTTTCAAAATAATTCATAAGCTTCATGAAATAGTTTCGACTATTTTAAGTTTAGTCTCCTGAGACAATTTCTTTCCTCTATAAATGTTTTTAGTTTATTATTTACAATAATGAACCTTTGTAATCACTAAGGAAAAAAAAAAAAAAGTTAACCACAAAGTTAAATTTTAAAAAAATATATTCACCTGTCCAAGACCATTGAACCATTGACACTGGAGATAATTCACAGCTCACCTTAGAATAATACTAGGAGCTAACCATAGGGTCAAGTTCGAGTTGGTAAGGCTCCTTAGGGAAAAGAAATTCACCAGTTTTGACGAGGAATATTGCATTGATAGTGAAGACTCTACAAGATACACGGATATTGTCGCATTTCCCAAGACAGGAAGGATAGCGCTCATCTCGGATCCAACTGTCCGCTTTGAGAGCAATGACCTCGATCGGTGAAGTGGAAAGAGAAAAGAAGAACACGTACAATAAATGTATCCCTTTCCTAAAAGAGAAATTCTGTGAGACCTTCGGAGAAAGAGAGTTCACTGTGAGAGGCCTCTGGTTTGGATCTCGCGGAACAATTCCAAAAAGAACAAGGAGCTTCCTCGAGGAACTAGGTGTCGACATTAAGGACGTAGCAAGGTTGGCTGAAAATATATTCCTTGACTTCCTGGGAATCATTCACCACCACGTTCATGGGTAGAGTGAGAGTTTTAATTTATTTATTTAATGAAAAATGTCTATTATATTTGTTGTATATTAACTTTTATTTAATTCTAGATGTATACACTTTTGTTTTTTTGTTATTGTTTTATTATAAATTTAAGCATCTTAATATTGTGTATAGGAGAGGTGTATAAAAAGAGATAAAGAGAGAGAAGTGGAAAAAAAAATCATGATCAATGAAAGGAAGAAAAAAAAATATATATATATATATTATAATCATATATACTAATCACTTCTGTATATTTATATATAAGTCTATTTATTGTCCTACGGATTAGCTGGTATGGTGTGAGTATAGCAACCCAATATAATTGGGCAGCAAGCTTTTGTATTTTATATGAAAATAAAGTGCTTCTCTCTAGTTGGAAAATACCTAAATTTTTTTTGTCCCATTAGGTACTCAAATCCTCTTTACAAAATCTTATGTCAAAGTTCTTATGAAGGAAATATAAAAATTTTTCTCGGAAGAACAAAATGCCGACTTCTATAAGTTTTAACTACTGTGTAACGCCCTGAGCGTTCGCCTAGAGACAGGATTACTGTTAAGAAGTTCATTACCTTATATAAAAAAGAAATATGTCCATAGATCTATTTATTTACCTTACCTGTACCACTACAGCCCATGAAGGGTCTTGGGTTTAGTACTATTTAGGGAAAGCACTGGTGATTTCACCAAGATCACGCTCAACTGCCATGTTATCCTCCTTCATTAATTATTTAATTAAGGGTACCCACTTTATAGAGGCTGGGTATGCTCCCAGGAGGGTCTCCCTATTCCAGGGTGGTCCCATAGCCAATGAAACAAAACAAATAATTTTTCTGCCATGAGTAGGGACTTGAACCTGGGATCTTGAGCATTGGAAACATAGTACCCTACCACTGAGCTACCCACTCCCTTTGATGTATACATTACAGATAGTAAATAGTATTGGTATGTTTTTCTTTTTAAAAAAGAACTGTTTTAACTATATTTTGTTCATTATCTTTGTTTATTTCAATATAACGACCAGATCCGCTATTAACAGTGACAGGTGGATAGATATAGCGACCGTCATCGTTATAACAATTATACATTTATAACGACTAAGTCCACCAGATTCCTCAAGGTCATTATAAACACTATCCACTGTATATTAATTCCAATTCAAACTGATATATTTGGCATTGAAAATTGATATTAGGAAGATCTGTATAATATCACAACTTCGTCTCACTGATCATAAATGTGCAAGGATCTACACTCAGGGTCAGATCTTCTCTTTTTAACTAGAAAAAGTATGCCCCTTATGTGCAAATTTGCTTACTGGCTGTGGAGTGCTTATGTGCTTGTATTGTATGAGAAACAACCAGGTAAACTGCTTCTGAGAAGCTGATCACTGATAGCCCAGGAGCCAGGGGCCAAAAAATGACCTGAACGCAGGCGAAGCTTTGATTGTAAATTACAAAAGTTTATGTAATTCTGAGTAAAAAGAACCTTGTTGTCTGCCGTTCTAGAGCTGCTGCTTTAACAATGGCGGCTGATTTAAAGAATATTAGGCCAATAATTTGAGGATTAAAACTTGAAATCCATTGCGAAAAATGTGAGAAAAGTTTATTTTTTAACTTGTCAATATGGGTTTAGACATGTAAAAAACAAAATTGCTAACACGAACCACCAAGGGGAAACTATTTACAGCCAAAAGTCAGATTTTTTTGATAATTTTTGGTATTTTCACCTATAACTCCTAAATGATGCATCAAAGCGAAAAATGCATTCTTTAGTAAATTAAAGAACGTTAAATTTTATGTCAAACGAGTATGTAAACTTTATAATTTGGTTATATAAAACCACGGTCAACCAATGCTGACTTTTATCCAATTTGTCAAAAACTAAGAAAAATTACTAAAAAAGGCCCTGTAACTTGGAGTTACAGCTTCGCTAAGAGGAAAAACCCATAGTTTCAAAGTTGTAGAGCATCGAATTTTGAGTCAACTGAGTACTGACATTTTTTTGTAGGCCAATTATGTATCTCAAATTGGAATTCATTATTCCTTTATAAAATTACCAAAATCCTTTGCTGTTTAGAGGTGGAAAAGAGGCTTTTACTGCATGTAACAGACTCTAAACATAAACACATCAGTAGAATGGACACCCATACACTTGAAATATTAAAAACCACATTTACCTTCATTACCAATTTCTAACCATCGGGAGAATACCGATTTAGTTCGCAGTACATTATCTACATTAAATTAGTTGTTACTCAGTTGACGCAAAATTTGATGCTCTAAAACTTTGATTCTATGGGTTTTTTTCTTTTAGGGAACTTATTTCTAAGTTACAGGGTCTTTTATAGTAATTTGTCTCATTTTATGACAAATTTGGTAAAAATCAGCATTGGTTGACGGTGGTTTTATACTTTACTGTGTAACCAAATTATTAAGTTTACGTACTCGTTTGAAGAAGTTGAAAAAACTTATTTTTTTTGCCCAAAAATGTCTTCCAGCAAATGTCTTCTTAGTTAAAATAAATTAAGAGTAAAAGGAATTTGTGATTTATTTAGCATTTTTCTAATTATATTATATTTTACAATTGTATATTTTATGGAAAGAATGAACAATTATTTATTGTTGAAGTTAATTAAGATGACTATTTTTCTTTTCGTTTTTTTTTTTTTTATTTAACTTTAAGTATAAGTATTGTAAACAATATATGATGTATGTGGCAAAACCTACCCACTTCTGTAAGTTGAATAGTTCAAAAGCAATAAAAATATCTAATCTATATATATAACTTATTTGTTTTATGCTTGATGAAATGAGTTTCTTATATTACATTTTTTCTTATTCTTATAATTAAACAGAAAACTTATGTTTTTCGACATAAATACATTAAAACTTTTTGGACAGTATAGCTTTTATTATGAATGAATAAATATAAATACAAATAAATAAACGTGAGAGAAATGCCTGTGGTATATTCAAAATACCATAAAACTGTTTTCAAAATGCTGTTATCAAAAACATTATAATCTAGGAATATTGCTACCTATGGGTAAAGACTGCAAGCAACATTTTTAGAGAATTCAAAAACCACAAATCAAACATTACATGAAAATATGTTACATGGAAAATAAAAATGTATACCTGTTTCTGGATTTGCCTTTCACTTTTTTTCTATCACGGTCATAACCACTCTCTGAAGAACTGGTACTACTAGAAATAGAGTCCCTTCGCAGCGTGAACACTTCCCTTAAAACTCCTCTGCTAATAGGCTCTATAAAATAATGAGTAAAATAATATACTATTATGTAAAATAATTAAATTAAAATTTTTAAATTCTTAATGTATTTCAATTACAGAGATGGATAAGTAGTCAGCTGATCAATTATAAGAATGAAGCAAAATTGTCAATATTTGTATTGGATTAGTCGATGTTTTGACCCACATGTTAGTGTCAAAACGCTGGCTAACCAAATAAAAATGTTGATTGAAATTCCTGACAATTTTGTATTTCAATTAAATTCATTTTTTCAATGTAATATTTAGCATCTGTAATAGTATTGGTGCTTCCCACCATTGTAATTGCTACTTCTAGCATAAGTCATTCGTGATATGTATTGAAATACTAATAGCTCTATGTCTTGTTTATCAACTGACCATTGCCAGAGATGATACAAATACACTTGAATGTTACATATGTAAAATATTATACTATGAAAATCCATATAAATCACACACAAATAGAAAAAAACAAAATGACATTCTATAGAGTACTCAATGGATGACCGTACTACAATAATGAGGGAAGAGATGGTTCGAGGTGGCAGTCATAAAAAAAACTTAAAATAGTATTTCACTATTTTGAGGTGGAAGTCATAAAAAAACTAAAAATAATGTTTCACTATTTTAAGTTGTTTTAATGACTGCCACTCCCGACCATCTCTTTCCTCAATGACATTGTAGTTCTTGTGAGAGTTCATAGGTGCAGCTCTGGCCATTAAGCTCAGTACCAAAAACTTGGATTTAGTGGAGAGGAGAAAATCCAAAAGAGAAGGCCCTCGGCCAACATCTGGAGGATTACTACAACTAACCGGGGACACAACACCCAGAAAAATCAAGTATGCCTGGTTTGCTCGAGGACATGTTTGTTGCAGATGAGAAGATGGCCAGCCAGCAATCATCATTAATAAAGCAGAAGATCTCAAAGTATTTCAATGATATAAACTTAATTGTTACAAAGAATTCTCTTTTCTCTCTGTTATTTTCTCTAGTTTATATACCCTAATTATTGGCAAGTTAAGTTATACTATTTCTCTTTATTTATGATTTTTGTCTCAAGAAATAGACTGGTGGTAAAATTTTTTTGTGGCACCTTCAATTTTACATAAAAACCACAGATTAAAGAAATATTATTGAGCCTGAAGGAATAACAGATCTATGACAAGTCAAAGAGGACTACCATGCATTAATCCTTTCAAGAAAATCTCATGATCCTCTCGAGGATTAACGATAAAAGTATTTAACAAAAATGTGAACCTTATGGTTTGTCTACAGCTGCCTGTTCAATAGCATTGGTTTTGCAATCGCATTTTCAATATAAAAATAACTTTATTCTGGGACTATCTATTTATTTAGTGTAAGTTTTTCTGGTCAGATGTCAGATAACTACTTTTTTCTGTTATTCTTAAGGGGCTTAAGAACTGGAGAACTTGGAGTTTGGCTCGAGCCGGTGAGAGAGAAAGATTGGCTCCATGTCATCATCATCCATGATTGGGTATTTTTCGTCCAACTGAGCTGAAATTTTGCACCTAGACAGAGCTGTATACGAAAGTCCAGCTCATGAAATTTTATGAAAATTGAGCGAGAATATTGGCCAGGATCAGAAGGTAACGATGTTGATGTATTTATGGAACCAGAGTGCTTATCTCTGCGCAGCCTACGACTTGCAGACTCCCACCACTTCTCAGCAACCACCACCAACAGAGTCAGTGTCGTATTATAGATACCAGCTATCATCGAAGGAGCCCAACCAATTTTATTGTTAAATGGTTTATATATTTAATCCCTTTCTCTCGTTAAAAAAAAGAAAAGAATTTATTGTTTGTTGTCATAATTATTTTTATGACGTTTTAAATCAAATTATTAAAGTAGACATAAATATGTACAAATCTTTTAATTTATTATTAGGAAATTGATTTTTTTAGATTTTAAATTTTTAATGATCTTATATTTTATATTCTAGGCAATATATTAAATTTATTAATGTGATATGGATATTTGTATATATATTGTTTTTGTTTTTTTAACTTTTTTATATTTTAATTTTTTAAACTGATTTTCAGGCAATTATTATTTTTGTTGTTGAGATTTTAAGTTTTCAACACTTTATTGATTTTATATTTTAAACTTATTTTTAGACAATTATGTCCAAAAGGTATGGATTCTGAGAACTGGTGGTCCTGTTCCAGAGGCGGTTGTTGCCTCAGTGATGTCTGCGGCTACAGTAGGAGGCTGCGAAAATAAATTTGTTAAAGTAAAATGGCCCAACACAGAAAGTATGGTATTGGGAAAGACGGTGTCGATAGATGTCATTCCCAGATTGCCAAATGGTCCGCATAATGTCACAGAGGCACATAGTGAACAGCAGGATGAAGTTCTATGCCCTGATGATAGAGTTTACTCCATATATTTAAAGTTGTTCCTTAAAAAGGGCGAACGAGGTCTCAGAACCCACATTGCAAAAAAGCATCCCAGGGAGGTGAACAACAATCCACTGAGGGGTACAGTGAAGAATGTGATAGATACTAGAAATGAAGAGGGTAAGATATCAACTGTAAAACTGTGCCTGAACTCTCTCTCCCACTTTGAATTTCCTGGTGTTGAATTCCAGAGTCGATGGTTTGTAGGCATTAGGATTTGGTCGCAATGCATCTAGTTTGATTCAGTCTTCTATTTATGTAATTTTCCGCTGGTGAATGTCCAAGGGCATTGCCCAATGTCTAAAAAGAATCTGACATATCTTGATAGGTAAGGGGGTAGGGTCCGTGGATGCAGCTTGCTCTTGTCTATCAATTGAATGAGAGAGTATATGCATTATTAATACTTACCCGCTTGAAATCTCTCAACAGTAGGCTTCTTCTGTCGTAGACAGTATTTTCTCTGCACCCTAGCAGCATTACGAACACTTCGTAAACACAACCTCTTTGGGCGCGGGGGTTGGGTAGACTCTTCATCAGATGAAGAGGTTGAATCAGATGAGGTCTCTATAAATTTTAAAACTGATAAATAAACTCAAAAATAAAATAATACAAATTGATATTTAAAAACAAAGGCAAAATTTTTATTTTTTAAAAATTCATTAAGGTTATATAAATCTAAAACTATTCAAAAATTTATATTGCAGTGATTTTTCTCATATGTAGAGAAAATCTGTTATTGGAAGAGTCTTAGGTACAAAAGCTGAGCCTACTTTAGCTCCTCATGGTGAAAATACTTTACAACTTCTTACAAGAGGAGTCTACGGATGTGGGCTCACCGATTTTGAATGAAACTTTTTTTGGTAATAATGATAATAATAATGACTGAACTGGGAGTTCCCAAGAAATTAGTAAGATTGACAAAAGCATGCATAAACGAGTCAAATGCCGAGTCCTGAAACAAAAAGAAGAATTTGAAGTCATAGAAGTTTGAACAGGTTGGCAGAAAGATGGGGGGTCTCTAAACTTTTTGATCCCTTCATTGAGACCTTCACCAAGTCTTGTGGGCTGCATTGAGACCTCCACTTAGGTCCAGCGGGCCATGGCTTGGTAGGAATTGATGAAAAAAAATTGTATTCTATAAATGACCCTTTAGTTGTAAAATGAGCTTTCTAAGAGGGTGAAAACCATGCAATAGATGTTGTACTGACCTCTTGTGTGAATAATTAGTTCAATTTCATGTTTTTTAATAGTTTTTAAAATTGTACCATGTTAGCGAAGAAAAGTTCACAGGCTGTAGTTTGGAGATTCCTACTCTAACCGATGCTATTTATAAAAGGTTAGTAGGTAAACAAATTTATTAAAAACAAGATTTAACTTATAGCCACATAGAGATGTTATATCAACAGAATTGGCCTCGGCTTCTGTTCCTCCTTGAACCAACTGAGGTAAAAACTAGTTTAGTTCTAAAAGCGCGGCCAGGCTGGACAGTCTAATGGGCAAACTCACTAGCTATTTGGTTATATTTATGTTTTTAAAAAGGCCAGGGCAGTCGGTACAGGTGGGTGCCCTGCTTAAGGGTATCCATAGGATAACCTTGCTGTGGCTTCAACAGATTGATAAAGAAGATATAAAATGTAACTAAATACATTCAAAGCAATTTTCTATACTTAAAAAGAAATTACTTTAAAAATTATAAATAAACTAAAAGTAGATGGCAACATAATTTAGTATAAGTATTAAGTATACTACAGATCAAGTAACAAAAAATAAAAATAAAATAAATAATTATCCCTTGAAATACAAGATGGTAGCAACTCTATGTAATGGTTCATTGAAAAGAACCATTTGTAATTTTAAATATTTTGGTATAGACTTGACTATTTTAAACAGAAAATAAGACTTTTAAGGTCTTGATTATGAATAATTCATTATAAATTTAATTTATTGTGAAAACTTAAAATTATAATTCCATAGAATGAAAATTTAACATGTAACATTTCAACCTGCTACTATCAAACAAACAAGTTCATAAGTGCAAACCATAGAATAACTTTCCAGTATCACTTGATGAATTAAACTCACATTTTATATCTGCTAACTTCACCTCTTCTCCACCATGCATACAGATCTTTTATCTGTTATAATCAAACTACAAACTAATTCTATAACACCAGAAAATTTCCCCGCCAAATTAATAAAATTATGCTTCTCTGAAATTCTTACGGTTCTTCTTTTCATTTACAATTTCTTCCATCAGAATTCAGTGTTCCCTGCATCTTAGAGAAAGCTGTTGTCCTTCCTTTAAATAGAAACTCAAACCCAACTTCTGAAGATTTCTGCAGAATCTCAAGCCTTTTTGATCTCTAAAACCCCTGGAAAGACTAGTGCAATTCCAAGTCTCCAACCAACTCTTCAATCTGGTTTCCTTTTTCTTTTTTTTTTTTTTTTTTTTTTTTTACCCCCTTCCTGGCATTTTTGCCATACGGGGTTTCAGTAGTGTGTTGATACGTTGGGAATACGTACCGCTACTGCTGCCAATACTCTTAATAATAATGCTATTTATTTTATTTTATTGTCACTGCGGTGCGGCCCGGGTGTGCGCCTTACTGATGGGACCGCACCTTAGTATCCAGCTGGTTGCGTAGCTTGCACTCCTGGGTAGTTTCCTCAAACAGTTTGATGCTGCTTCTTTCTTATGGCCTGCTCGTGGAAATCATCTCCCTATTGAGAAGTGAGTAGGTTCCACCTTTTGCCTCCATTTTCCCACGAACTCTACGAAGTGGGGGTAATTATCCTATCCGCTTCGTGGGACACGGTTCTGTAAGTCCTAGTCGTCCTCATCAGGGCGAGCCTATGGATGGTGGCCATCTTCTTCTTCCGCACCTGATTCAGGCGACGGCTCCAAGCTGGGGATGCATACCTCAGTATACCCAGCACAACTCCCTTGTAGATGATTCTTGTCGCTGGGTATCTGAGGCCCCAAAAGGCACCCCCAACCTGTGCAAGGCCATTTAGGGACAGGGCCACTCTACTCCGTAGGTACTCTTGTGAGGAGAAATATTAAATTTTGATTTAAATCTCACGCCTAGGTAGGTGATCTCCTCACCTAGGCGGACTCTATCTCCTCCTACTCTGAAACTAATAGGGTGGGATTCAATTTATTAACTATTAACAAAATTTTTAATCTGGTTTCCATCCCAACTACTCCAATCAAACTGCCCTAATTAAAATCATCAGTGATGTTAATGCTATTAAGGCTAGAATATCATTTCGCCCCTCCCCCACCTAAAAAAATTACAATTGATAAAAACTAAGATACATGAATGAATAAAATATGTAAACTAAAATCGATTAAGAAAATTCAATTAGCTGGCTAGGCTAAGGCCTATAAGTAGGTACTCAACTATTTTATCACAACCTAAATATTCTTATTATTTAAATTTTCGTCTATATTCAGGGATAATTATATAGAAACATTTCCTAGGATTTTATAATTTATTCACCTCTCATACCTCCATTTCCATGTGATTTTCTAAAAATATTTTATGATAAAGTTGGAAAAAATATATTTAATAAGTATAAGTAAAAATATATTTTAAAGATAATATTTTAAAAGACATTTGTACATAACTAGTTTGACTGTGAAAACATTGTATTTTTATTTTAAGGTTGTGAAAACTAAGAAATCAAAAATATTTTTCAGTTTTTTAACAATATCCATTTTTAGCTGGAAATGTTATAAAAATATAACTATGTTATGAAGGCTGTTCCCCTTTCTTCCATGTATAATGTATAAAAATTGTAATAAATCCAATTGTACCATAAGTCCATTTTTTTTTTTCCTTCACCCCCCAATCGACACCTACAGTGTTGGGCTTGTTACGGTACTTGGTACATTTGTAAACATTACTCGAGTAGATGTGCAATGATGTGTTAAGAGTGATCACTCTTAATTGTTTACTTACGAGTAAATTACTCATGAAACATTTTATCTCCATGAGTAAATCACTCATGAAACATTTTATCGCCATGATTAATTATAAAAAAAATATGTTTTTTAAAATTTAATTTAATCTTTTTTGGAGACTGCGTAAAAACAATCTGGCAATGTTAGGCTATTACAAAATGTTTGAAGTGCACTTTTAACAGAGCTAAAGCTTAATCCTTACAACTAACAAATCATCAATACCAGTAAAATTACAAAAACGTTATTTATTATATCGATGGTAGGCAATAAAAACCTTGTGACTCAATCTGTTTTTGTAAATCACATAACTCTAGTCTCTGAGTAATATATGCCTGGAGAGATTTAAATGTCCATATGTATATTTTGTCGGCACTATGTTAAAGTAACGAATGTGAAACGTTGGACAGGTTAACATTCGTTACTTGAACATGTTGCCAACGATTTAATCAATAAATGATTATAGATTGCACTATAATTTATTAACTTTTATTTTTTCAATGTTAAGTTTAAGGCCAGGCAGGAATAAGTAATGTTCTATCAAATTAATGGAAGAAGAAGAAAATTAAGACAAGATCACTTACCACTCTTTGTAACTTGCCGTCTTCTTTGTTTTACTCTGGCATACATATCCTCATAGCCATTCTCTGTTATAGTATCCCTAATTCCATGATCTTCACTTTCTGCTTTCTGCAATAAAAAAATAAACATCCATTATTGACTATCATAAAGCTACATGTTCAATACTGAAAAAAAAAATTTATTCAGGAATTTAAGTCTCCCTAAGAATAATAACAATATTTGAGCATTATACACATTACTATGGTAAGATATTAAGACATTAAACATTACAAGGCAATAATTTATAAGTAGTAATTATTACAGAATTAAATAGGGCTTACATCAATTCGATAGATTGAAATGAAGAGGAGGAACAAGAGTTGTTGAAAGGAATTTTTGGACGAGGATTGATTTATAGAGATGAGTAAAGAATTTATTAAATGTATTAGGTGTATTAAATAATGCAGGATTCTGAGTTTTCTTTAAAATACCCCTCTTTACAATAAACTGTTTACGCTCACTAGATTATTCATTTGTATGAATGTCAACACTTATTAATCCTCTTCCAAACGATAATGTTTGTTTATCTCTGTTGCATTTCGCTGCTTAAAAATAATTCAGTCTTTACTAAGATGTCAATGTGTGATTTTCATATAATTATGTTTTAAGAGTTTAAACTCGGACGGAATGGGTCCAGCGGCAGAAACATCAATCAAGTCTGGGGCGAGAGCAGCATTAATGAGTGCACTGTTCAACGGTGGTTCAAAAAATTTCGGAGGGAGACTTCAGCCTTGAAGACAAAGAAGGTCGTGGAAGGACTTCCTCTCTTGATGACGATGTTCTGCGGGCTTTGGTGGAAGAAAACCCCAGAACAACTGTTCGAGAACTTGCAGGGAAACTTAACCTTAGCAAATCGACCGTCGATGACCACCTCAAGGCGATTGGAAAGGTAAAAAAGCTTGAAAGTTGGGTTCAACACACTTAGTGGGGGTAGTGGGAAGCGCGCGCATGCCCAATCATCAGTTCGACTGACAATTGTCGTCTTAGTTACTTGGAAGGTTACGTCCATCCTCTTCAGAAATCTCACGATTATTCTGAATCATTTGACTCAGTGTCAGTGTCTCTACCCTTGTCCAGAGGTGTTCCACAAGGTTCCTCTTTATCTCCCACCCTCTTTTCCATCTATATCAATGACCTCTCTACCTCTATCAAGTACTGTCAATACCACATATATGCCGACGACGTCCAAATTTACCTTTCCTTCAACCGGGCTGATTCCTCTAATGCTATCCTGAAACTGTAAAAAGACATCAATGGAATATGAGCATGGGCAAACCTTAATAACCTCACTCTAAGTGCGGAGAAAACAAAACCCATCCTAATCGGATCCCCTCCACTCCTCAAATCCATTTCAGTACCCCAATCTTCTCCTGAACAACTCACCTATCTCCTTCCATACTACCGTTAAAAACCTTGGCATTACCCTCCATCATCAAACCCTCTCCTGAAAACCACACATCTCCCAAATTTCCCGTTGTACTATTTCCACTCTGAAACAGTTTCACCATCTACGTTATCTTCTTCTATTCAAAACCTGTCAACTCCTGGTTTCATCTCTTGTTTTCTCCCACTTCGACTATGGCTGTATGGTGTATGGTGGACTATCGGGAGAACTCAAAGCTAAACTTAAAAGTCTAATGAATTGCTCAATACTCTTTATCTTGGGGATCTCAAGGGATATGCATATTACCCATTTTTACACCGAGTTGAAGTGGCTTTATCCGTCCTACCGCGATCAGTATTTCGTTGCTAACTTCCTATACCAGGCTATTAGAACTCGGCGACCCTCCTATATTCTACAGATCCTACAATTCAAATGCTCCTTTCAATCCCATCCCACCAGATCCCGTACGTCCGACCTCTATCCTCCTCCTCACCGAACTGCTGCGTTTGACAAATCCTTTTTAATTCAAGCTGTCTCCCTCTGGAATTCTATCCCCTCTGATATTCGACACGCAAAGTCAGTATCCTCTTTCAAATCTCTCTTCTTCAAACACCTACTCCATTCCCAATCCGGTTGATCATGAAATGCACTTAAAAATCTAAGTCATAAGAATCTCAAAGTACCCCAGATACTTTGATTATTTTGTGATTTATTGATATTTTGTTTATTTATTTTACTTTCTCTGTTTACTTTATATTTATGTATGTTTTATATCTTTTTATTATCTGTACTTTTATTTTATTACTAATCATCCTGTAAATATTTAATTGCATCTTATGGACACACCAGAATATTAATATATGTATTGTATTTGTAATTTTTTCTAAAGAGACACTAGCCCCAGAATAATAAAATAGAGAGAGCAAGGAGATATATCTTACATGCTATTTGAATCTGGCCAGGGCAGGGTTGAAATTTATTTTGTGGCAGACCCACAGAATGAATTTTAATGTCCCCACTCTGGTTAAATAGGTTTGGTTGTACCTCCAGAACAACCTACCTGAAAGTCAGAAACAGCAAGATATGGAGTAAACAAGAATAAAACAAATCTGGTGCAGTGTGCGCATCACACAACTTTCACTTACCAATCTTAATAGTAAGTAGAGCAGAGTAGAAAGGTATTATCATATTTAGGAAAGTCAAAGTGAAAACGACAGTATAACTTCATTTAAAACAATCAATTACCATATCCCCCTCTCATATAGAATCAGTTGAATTTACAAGTTTGCATCACTTTCCATTTCCGTTTATGACTGCGTATACTGTCGAAAAATACTAATAATTGTGGCGAAAAGTGGTAAGTAGTTGTTGTGTGACTATACTGAAGAGAGGATAGGAGAAGTGATCCTGACTCCAGTGGGAAAAACCCAGTAATAGTTTTACCAATTTGGAAGAGTTGTTTGGCAGAACTTTGGAAAGTGTTTGAAGGCAAATGAGTTCAGTGTCACAAAGGAAGAAACATATAATATAGAAAAAGGTTAGCTTGCCAATTCACATTTGACTTTATTTTAAAATCAATAAGTGTTTAATTTTAGTATAAATAGTGTAAATAATAATAGTTTGTCTGAGTTGATCTGATTGTCAGTAACCCGCACCTGAGTTATATAAATATATTAATTCTCTTATAATTTTGTTTATTATTAAACAATCTCTTATTTATTTAGGAAGTATTCCAATGGTAAGAAGTGAGCTTCCAAGGTTACATTTGTCAAATATAACAGAGATGTTACAAAATATATATATGTAGGCTTATGTATATTTAATTATAAAGAAACATTTAGAACTGTTTTATTTAATCAAAATAGTCTCCACTACTATTAATAAATTTCTTCCAACGTGTTGGCAACTTTTCTATTACCTCGGAATAGAATTTCCTATCTTTAGAATTTATAAACTCCAAAAACGCATTTTCTGATTCCCTTTGTCCATTAAATATTTTGACATGTAAGTAGTGGTCCAAGTGTCCAAGAAAATGATAATCCGTAGGCGAGAGGTCTGGAGAGTAGAGTGGATGTGGCAGTTTCATATCCAAGCTCCAACTGTTTTTGTGACGTCACACGTGAGACATATGGTAGGGGATATTGTCATGTAACAAAATGAGCCCCTTCCGATTGACCAAAGATGGCTTCATTATTGCCAATTTCTGATGCATTGCATTAATTTGGTTACAATACGAATGATCATTGATGGTTTCTCCAGGATTTAAGAAGCTGTAGAGTATCAAATCAAATGAAGCCCACCAAACAGTCACCTTCTTTTGATGAGTTGGGTGCTTACAAAAATGTTCTGCTGGTTCTCCTTTGTTGAGCCAATGTCCAGAACGTCTATTGTTATTGTAAAGTTTCCATTTTTCATCAAAAGTAACAATTCTGGACAGAAAAGGGTCATTTTTGTTTTGGAAAAGAAGTGTAGCATAAACTTCATAATGCTAGTTTTATTTGGCAGTCGTTTAATGTGTGTGGAACCCGACTTTCAATCTTTTTTACCCTTTCCAATCCCCTTGAGATGGTCATTAGCTAAGTCAAGTTTCCCTACAAGTTCTCAAACAGTTGTTCTGGAGTTTTCTTTACCAAAGCCCGCAGAATATCGTCATCAAGAGAGGAAGTCCTTCCACAACCTTTCTTTTCTTCAAGGCTGAAGTTTCTCTCCTGAAATTTTTCGAACCACCTTTGAACAGTGCATTCATTAATGCTGCTCTCACCCCAGACTTGATTGATATTTCTAGCTGTCTGGAACCCATTTCGGCTGGCCGAGTTTAAACTCGTAAAACAAAATTATATGAAAACCACACGTTGACATCTTGGTAAAGACTGAATTATTTCCAAGCAGTGAAATGCTACAGAGGTAAAGAAACATTATTGTTTGGAAGAGGATTAATAAGTGTTGATATTCATACAAATAAATAATCTAATAAACATAAACAGTTTGTTATATAGAGGGGAATTTTAAAGAAAACTCAAAATCCTGCATTATTTTCCGGATAACCCAATAGATGACTTGAGAATGAGCAGACTACTAAAAAAATAAATAAATAGTTAAACTATAAGGGCTTACATATACCCTTGGAGACTCCATTTGTGAAAGGTATAGAGTATCTGTAGAGGGAGAGGAGCGGAAGAGGTCGAGCGCTCTTTGCTGTTTCTGCATAGCTTCTAACCCTTATTTCTCCTTCAGTTACTAATAAATTGTCTTCATTAATTATATTCAACCATTTTTTATATCAATTACCTATGTGAAGTGGTTAATTATTTTAAAACAAAAAAATTAAAAGTACTTTAGAAGAGAACATCAATGAGAATAAGACATTATATTAAAAACTGCTTAATTTTACACTGATATAAAAAATTTAAGCAAGTTAATAATGCTGTTTTGGGGAAAATTGTAAAACCGATGATATAAAGTGACACTTGTGAGTAGCCGATTTTGACAAAAAAAGTTGCTGTAACATCCGAGACATGTATAAACCTTGAAAACTCAATTTCAGTTGCAAATGAATTTTTGATATACTCAATTTTCATTTTTGAGCTAAACTGTTCATACACACTCGAGGAGTGTTCAGTAATATTTAACATAGGGTCCTTGCAATAAAATATTAAAAAAGTATGCTGCATGCCTTGACACAACA